TCCTGCAAACCCCTTATAGCAACGCAACTCTTCCTCCAACAGGCAAAGCATTACTCGCTCATCTGGGACGTCAGGGCCAAAACCGTCACGTAATGTCCTGTTTCAGGAGGGGACAAGTTTCCTTTCCATTAATAATCCATAAAACACCTTCTCTGAGAAATAAATGTCACAAAAAAACAACAAAAACCTGTATCTGTACCTGAGACGGATGTCCTCCTCCGAGTTACAGGCAGCGTCAGTCTTTGTTTTCACCCACAGGGAGACCGGTTCAGACATATGAGTCGTGATTTTGTCCCCCAGAGCCTTCAGCCACAGGATCACCCAGTCCAGCGCTCGCTCCAGCTGTCCAGCCCGCCTGGACGTCTGCACAGCCAGCATGAAGGGTCGGCTCAACTAGGTAGTCAAAAGCCATGTTAATGATAGAGATGAGTGTGAAAATAAAAAATGTTCCTCAGGATCATTTGGGTTTGCATCTATCACAACCTATTTAAAATCAGGAGGTGATCTGTACACCGACAACCAAGCCCAGTCAAGACAAAGACATGATTTATACACTACTATAGTATTAAGACAATGTGTATGTGTAGAATATAACAAATAAAAAACACACTTGAAGGACTTACCCTATCGACAGACAGCGAGACGGGGCAATTCTTGCACAGATCCCTGCAGAGAATCTCAACGAGTGTGAAGGCCTGGTCGTAGAGACGCCGGTTGAAAAATCCACAAGCCAAGTTGCTCACAGCAATCACTGCAAGACACAAGGTAATCTTAAAATGCCATTCAATATAACAATAAAATACTGTCTATATAGTGCAATTTAAGTAAGCATTTCAGAACCACTCACAAGACCCCACATGTTAATAATCTACAATGTAATAATCACCTGCTTTGACGAGAAGGTTTTCACCAGATAGTTTACGCAGTTCAGTCATCATCTGTCCAGATGTGGCTTGGCAGTAGAGCAGCACCCTGTCCAGTGTGTCACTGTTCTCCAGCTGGGAACAAAATCACAATAAGTACTAAAACCTGAAGCACAATTAGAACGGCAGCAACAAGTTCTAACTGTGTGACTCATTGGTCTTATTTTTCAGTTTTGGTGCCATCACCAACACCGTAAAATTGGATACTACAGAAGCAGCCTCACCTGTGAGGCGAGCATGCTCTCGTAAGCAAACACGAAGCCTTGGTAAATACTGAAGCAAAGCGCCTGTTGCAGTCTGCTGCACTCAGCCTGGAATGTTGAACTCTGTAGATGAAGCAAATCACAGGTTTATAATCTGTATAAGTTTTCCTCAAGAAAAACCCAACAGTGCTCTAATTTTACAGAATGATTCCCCTACTTTCTAGCACACACACACACACACAAAAATAAAATAACTAATTGTCCTGGTCAGTAGCTATACTCACCTTCTTTAGCGTCTTTACTATCCGCTCTTGGTGCTCCTCACAAAAAGAAAACCAAGCCAGTAGCACAGGTCCACTTATTCCCTTGCTGTGGCCACTTTCGACAGCCCACACCACAAGTCCACAACCTTCCAGGACTGCATGCGCTTCTCTGTCCCCCAGGTCGGCTGAAAGAGACCTCAAGGCCCTGGCACACTCCGTCAAAGCCTGGCCACTCTCCCCGCCAGCCTTCATCGTAGAATGAATCTTGACTGCCCATCTGCAGAGTACCATGGCTGTACAGTGACAGTTAGCACAGTCTCCGACCTTGCTCTCAATGTCCCTCAGGAAGGTGAAAGCTATGTCATAGTGACCAGCCTTACAAAGTGCCTTCACTATTATTAGCACCATTTCAAAAAGCGTATATAGACCTGATGTCTCAGGAGACTGCTTGGACCCTTGACCACCAGTCCAGCATCTGTTGAAAAGTGTGTGCATTTCCTGGAGAAGAAAAGAAGCATCGTCTTTGGTCACCGCTTCACAGCTACTCTCAAAGTCAGCGATGGCATCCTCCGTATATACGGGTGCTTTGGAGAGAGAGGGGGTTACACTTTCTGTGTCCAACAACAGAAGGAAGCTCAGAGCTTGTATCTGGCAGTGGAGTTTGTCACGGGGATTGAGGATTTTCTTGTCTTTGGTAGCAGATAATCCATTCCAGAGCACGGAGAAGCAGCTCCGCACAAGAACACAGTAGTCCTCACCCTACGGACCATATAGAAGTGGAAACCTTGTTAACAAGGCGATCATTCAGTGCAGATGTGGAACACACAACGCATGTAAATGAACTGAAATAGAAGGTGATGCATACCTGTTGGGCTGGGGTAAGCCTGCTGTAAAGCAACCCAGCAACATGGCTACATAGCCTGTGAGCTTCTAGGGTGCTTAGCTTCTTGACAATATGGAAAATGATCTTTTCCATGTATAGTGTACTGCTCTTAGCGACGAGTGCTGCAGAAACGTCATAGCCCTGAAGGGAAAGCTCCACCAGCTGCACCAACTGACGGACACGGTCAAAGCTAGGTGATCCAACTCCAAGTTGATGGTTACAGGCCCTGATGACCCTGTCACACAGTGTGCGACCCTGGAGGCCCAACCGACTCTTCACATAATTCTACAAAACATATGTACAAAAGAAAAAAGACATTACAAAATGCATTATATTCTCAAAAACACAATTTTAACACAGCAAATGGAACTTGTCGTATCCAAACGGTCATTTAAATTATTGTAGTTATATATTACGGTATGTTTTATTGCTGCCTTAATGTCGTTTAAAATCCTGTGCTTTAAACACGTTATCTTGTAGAAAACGTTATTAGGAATACGAGAGGTTCATCTTATACAAATGATGATTATGCTAACCTGTAGCTCTTGAAGTAAAAGCTCCGTCTCGTCCACAGAAGAAGTCCGCTTGACGTACTCGTCCACTTTCAGACACTTCATGTCTGCAGCTGTGGAAAACACGTTATTAAAGTAGCAAGTTTAGTGTTAAACGTCGGTTGAGCGAGGAGCGTAGCTTAGCTAACGTTAGCGTCAACCACAACATGAAGCCGTTCGACTAACGTTAACGTCTGCTAGCTTCACCAAGACAACATACAGCGACTTACTTCAAGCAGGAGACCTAAATGGCAACACTTTTATATTCACAGCAGAGAAAAAGCAGACGTTTTCTCCATAACGACACTATTAAGCAGCGGTACGGTTGCTGCAAAAGTTGCGTAAGTTTAAAGATTCAAATCCTTAACATTCAAGAAAACTGCACCCCCGCGCACTGTTTTTGAAAGGTGTTTGCTAACCAATCAGACAGCACATCCGCTTTTTACCGGAAGCTCTGGGGCTTATGGGTATCTTATGGGTATAGTTGTATGATCATATATAAAAAACAGGACGAGAGTAACATACAAGTAGTTTTACAATGAGTTGTAAAACCATGACAAACATAAATATTTTAGTTATTAAGTTGCATTTGTATTCAAACAGGCGACACATCATATCTCCTAGAAACAAGTTGCATACCATGTATTGTAAACCAATGTAATTCAAATAAATCTGTCGTCCGGCCATGTGACGTACAGGCCGAGACATTCTTCAGATGGATTAAAAACGGGCTTGTACAGAATTATTTGAGTGATTGTTGTATAGTAAGAGTTTAGGATTTGTAACAAAGATTATTGCTTGCACATGGAGGTTTGGAGTTCCACTATATACTCTCCGTCATAATAATCCTTATTCATCAAAATCATCTTTATTCTCAGATTGCATAATGAGTCGAGCACTATAAATTATAGTTATACCAGACATTTAAAAAATATAAGGTTTAATAACAATTTAGATATAGGTCAACAAAAAGAGTCAACAAAATAAATTGAGAGAATATGTTTATTTTCCAGCAAGACATCATTCTAAAAGGGGAAGCCAAAGTCAAAATAAATATGTTAATGTCCTTGTGTGGACATTTAGATTTTGAATAGATGCTTTTTGTTGATAAAAACAAATTACATCTGATTCATTATTGTAAACCAATAACACATGAAAACGTCCATGGGGTGAATGCTTTTTATGGTCAATGTAAATCCCAAATAGTTTGTGATGCCATTGCTGGCATGGGTTTGTAAACATACACTATTTTTGATTGGTAAATGGAGTGATGAAAATAGATTTTTGTTTGGAACATATCCACCAGAGGGCACAGGTCCACACTTGGCCCACTGCAGATCACCTGTATCAGTTGAAACTTCCCATCCTTTAGTGGAAGGGACTGCATGCTAGATGAATATTATTAAGGGTGTGTTTCCATTAGCAACATAACAAACTTGAGCAGATTATACATTTTGGTGGAATGCCCACTACTGTCACAATGGCTGATCCATTTCTCTGAAAACAACTTCTGTCAGATCGATCCTTGAAGGGTTGAGGGAGTGAGTGAACAAAGTGACACAAAGTGTGAACAAACAATGCTTAATATATACAAGATTCAAATCGTGTAATCTTTTATTTGTCCCTTTGTACTAGATTTAACCAGTAGTATTACCAGGCTTGTGAATGATAAATATAGGGAGCAGTTATAGGATGAAAAGCAAAAAAGAAACCACAATCAAATACATTTTGAAATAATTCACATATAAACAATAGGGTCCAGGTTTATATTTGTTTGCAATGATTTCTAAAGTCAATGCCTGAGAGGATGGACCCAAGCCGTTTTTCTATGCAATTCTGATAAAAGTATCTACACTCCAGCACTGTGGGACACACTGCATGATGAAAAACCCTGGTTTCTCTTTAAAAGTGTGTACAGATGAAAGGAAGTGGGGGAAAATCAATATGGAAATGAATGAATAAGAGTATTTAATTTAGATTTTTAGATGAAAATAGAGGGATGGGGATGCACAAGACAGATACCAATATCATAAGACAGACCAAAACCACAATAATTGCAATGAGCCTCTGTGAATGGAGACAGCTATAAACTACACCAAACAAATACTGTCCGTTTTTGCTGTGACACAGGCAACAGAAATGTTTTCTTTAAAAAATAATCACATGTGAGACTTGCGATGTGTTTTGGTGATATAATTAGCATCTTTATTTTGATTACACTTTTCAGCGACAGAGTTTGAAATGTGCTTTTAACAACAAACGGTCAGAGAGCAAAAGGCTACTAATGAGCTCCACCTCTCTTCTTGATGACGTGTTCCATCGCAGCCTTTTCAGTGGTGTCCAGATCGATCTTGTACTTGGCCAGGATTTTCAGGATGGGCCTCAGCTTTAGCCACCACTGTATCTTTGGAAGACGATGTCTGTAGAAGACATTTGTCAGTACAAAGAGGAAAATAAAAACAACAAGAACAACGCCCGAGATATTTCAATTAAGGCTGATTAAGTGATTTTTGACCAGATGTTTGGCAGAAAGACTCCAAACTAAACTTACAACAAGGGGGCTTAAAGGGACAGTTCATCTCCAAATCAAAAATACATATTTTTCCTCTTACCTGCAGCGCTATTTATCAATCTATTTTGCTTTGGTTTGAGTTGTCTGCTTTCTCTCCAAAATAATGACACCATAAGTCACTCAGCTTGTGGTACTCAAAGCGAAAAAAAATACATTTGAAAAGGTGATTATCTTGAGTAACCGGGTCATGATTTCTGGAAAGAGACATTGCTGTTGACAAATGTATTTCTTTGGCGCTTTGGCACTCTAAGCACCACAGGCCTCCAAAACTATAGGCAACTCACAGCAAAATAATCTAGATTGATAAATAGCATGAGACGTAAGAGGAAAAATGTGTATTTTGGATTTTTGGGTGAACTGTCTCTTTAAGCGTTATAGCTAACATGTTAGCAATCAACTTTATGTTAGCAATCAAGTTTTAACCCATTTTTTTGGTCCACTAACCCACTAACTGTGCAATATGAGTAAACACAAAACAATGAAAAGAGAATAGGTAATAAAATACAATGAGAGGATGGAAATGAAGTCTTACTCAAAGTCAGTGTGATCTTTAAGTTCTGCCAGAGGCTGGAAGACCAACGATCTCTTCTTCATGCCCAGCACACAGGCGGAATCTGGAGAGTTGGCAAAGATACGACCTGGAGGTTTGGGATTAAAAAGATAGTACACATTAGCACCGGGAGCACAGGACTCATTACAACACAATATGCAAGATGTCCTCACCGTGTCTGTAGCCTTCCTTCAGCTTGTCAGTCAACCACAACACAGACTTGATCCCCATCTTGGTTGCAAAATTCCTGTCAAAAGGACTGGGTGTTCCACCCTTATAAGAAAGGATAGGTTTCGTTATGTTTCTGAAATTAAATCTTTTGGCGTATATAATGTGTCAGCATACAACAAATAGAAGGTCTGCATCATGTGGCCCACCTGCTGCATGTGTCCAAGTACATTCTTCCTGCAGTCAAACACACCCTTGCCCTCCTCTGTGTACAGGTTGAAGATAAAGTCTGTGGTGTAGTTGGCATTGCATTTCTCATTTCTGAAACAAAAGTAGAATATTGGGTGAGATGTGAAGCCACAGTGAGCTGCAGAGTGTAAAGTTGAATCTATAGTCGGAATACAATTTATGTTAATTCACACAAACCTCAGAATCAGTCCTCTCTTCACTGTGGTCTTCATCTTCTCCACCAGATGTTCCACATTCACCTACAAACAAATCAAGGATCAGACCACTGATGTCATCACCTAGCTTCCTCTCTTTTGTACATTCACAAGGACAGACCTCTAGGTCATGAATGTTGAAATGCTCCTCGTAAATATAAGCAGCATCCGCTCCAGATGCCAAGCCAGCCATGGTTGCCAGGTAGCCGCAGTATCCTCCCATGGTCTCAACAATAAACACTCTTCTCTTGGTGCCGGCAGCTGATTGTTTGATCCTGTCGCATGTCTGAAAAGGAGAAAGAGAGAAAGAAGTAAGAGAAGACGAATGTAGGGAGTAAGATTTAGTTTTTGGATTGCCTGGTGTTTGTGTTATGTTCTATATGAATATTACCATGGTTATAGTGTTAAGTGCGGTGTCAGTGCCAACACTGAAGTCAGATCCAGGAACATTGTTGGACACAGTAGCGGGAACAACGACAAGGGGAATACAAAGTTCCTCATACTTCTCTCTAGCCTGCACCAACTCCAGACCCCCAACAAATGCCTGGTGAAGACAGGGAGGAACGAGGAAATCAGTAAAATGTTGAGTTTTAGTATTCGGGATGTGAATCTATTCCTTCACTGCTCACCTCAAAGCCTCCAATAATGACTATAGCATGGATGTTGAACTTAGCGATGCTCAGACTGATCTCCTCCATAAACTCATGTGGCAGGGACCTTTATAAAAAGGGAAAACACAGAAGTACACAATGCCAAGTTTAAAGTATTATTTTAATAACACTGAAACATGCACTGGTATTACTGTACCAATCAACATGTTTGTTGAAATATTTCACCTCTTTGTGCCCAGCAGGGAGCCTCCTTTTCCAGTCCATCCTGCCACTCCAGACCAGCCAATAGGCTCAATCTGTGCAGGGACAGAGGGCATGCTCTATCATGCTCTGAAAGTAAAAACTTTCTTGTTTGTTTATGTATGTGTAATTTACCATTCCATGAGCCAAGCCGTCGAAGCCGTCGTGCACTGCCAGCATCTGGTGGCCCTGGAGGAGCCCAATCCTGACAGTTGAACGAACTGCAGCATTCATTCCAGCACACGGAGCTCCCACGTTCAATATGGCAATGTTGATATTACTCTGGCACGGGCACATTCACAGAGACATTTGTCAAGATATATTTATTTTCCACTGGGAGTTATTGACTAAGAGACAGTTGATGAACAATAAGGCAGTTCAACTTAGATCCTGACCTTTGCTTCTGGGATGTGCACATGAGCCAGCATTTTGTAAGTGTTCCAGTTGTTCTCAAAGCTCCTATTGTACAGAAATGTACAGGCATTTAATTAAAACACAGGACAACACTTGAGAATGTTAAAAAGAAAAAAATGCAAAAGAGAATGCCTCACTTTCCCCTGAGCTTCACCGCGTCTTCAAACCTCCCTTCAGCCATAGCTGTGGTCACATCTTTAGTCTGAAGTGACAGAAGACAAAAAGGAAACTCAGAATTGAATCAGAACTAATAAAAAAAAATCAAAAACGTCTTGCTTTTGTGTAAGCTTGCTTGTTCAGTTGTTAATTTTGTAAAAACTGAAGAAACATAATTAATTTGTTTTGCATCTTGAGCAGATTTTACTCACAATTTGCACACACTCCATGAGAGGCAGCCTGACAGCCATGTTTCCAGACAAGCTGACCACACATGCGGGAGTGTCCGGGGTGGCCTCCAGCAGAGCCATTACAGCCTCCACGCCCATCCTGCTGGCCTGAATCATGACAATCAAAAAGCAGAAACTTTGAGAAGTCGGTACACTTGTGTTTAATCACATTGTTAGTGAGAAATTTGATTAGTGGTTAAATATTCAAAAGGTTTATATATGGGACAGAGGTAGTATTACCAGGATTCTGTCAAAGGCAGAAGGGGTTCCTCCTCTCTGCACATGGCCCAAGATGGTGGTGCGGGTGTCAATGCCGAGCCTCTTTGATACCAGCTGGACAGAGAGATTCAGATCTTAATATCTTAAGAAGACCCTATATGTGTGCTGGTATATTGGAGTTCTGCTATTACTGACCTCTTTGATGCCGTCACATGTGATGGCTTTACTGTTGCGGTCTATTGCTCCCTCTGCAACAATGATAATATTCAAACGGGAGCCGCGGCCTCTTTGCTGAGAGGGACAGAGAAAACTTTTAAGATCAATAAGCAGACTTAAAAAAAAAAGAAGAAGCTGGATTTAAATTAGTCATTGAAGACGATGCAGGACAGGACATTTACCTCTGCCAGTCTTCTGCACAGATGCTCCTCCCATCCCTCATCTGGGGGCATCTCTGGGATGAACACCCAGTCAGCGCCACAGGACAGAGCTGTCACCAAAGCCAGGTAACTGTAGGTTAAGAGTCATACACAGGGTTCAAGTGTCTTTTGCAAAACTGTAACATAAGTAGTTGAAAGGGACATTTCACAATTTCATCCATAGACAGTACATGTTTTGTAGTTATTGTATAACCAGCTGTTTAATGATGTTGACAACACACAGGCTGTACTCACCCACAGTGCCTGCCCATTACCTCCAGGATGAAGGTCCTCTGGTGACTGCACAACAGCACACAGCATGTCAAGACTCTTAAAATGGCATGGCAAGTCTGTCCATTAAATAAATGCAGTAATAATCACATGCATACCTTTGTGCTGTGGTGGTGATAGCATCCACTATCTCTATAATGCGATGCAGCGCAGAGTCTGTGCCAATGGTCATGTCGGTGCCACAGAAGTCATTGTCAATGGAGCCCACCATGCCAACGATATTGAGATGGGAGGAACCCTTTGCCTCAGCTGACGTGATCTTGCCTGAGACCACAGGTGGCAACACTCTTAGAAGCTGTTGATTCTCAAATAGTGGCTGCAGCCAGAATTACCAACATGCCATAAACCAACAGCAACTTGTACCATAACAACAGTATAGAGGGGCAGATATGTGCAAAGAGACATTTCATTTGAGGCTGTGTGGCTTAGGACAATCCATTTTTGGCTCATGGCTCTCACCAGTTTTGATCAGGTCTGCCAGCAGCTCACTCCACTCGGTTCTGAACTGGTTGGCACCCGTCAGACTGCCATCACCACCAATCACACAAAGGTTGGTGATGCCCAGCTTGACCAAGTTACAGGCGGCCTTGGTGCGTCCCTCCTTGGTGCGGAAATCCTGACAGCGGGCACTTCCGATCACAGTCCCACCCTGACATTAGGCAAGGAGGAAGAGTTTCAAACAAGAATCGCAAGGAGGCAGATAGGTCCATTAAGTCTTAAGCTATTTAAGGAACCTTGGCCTTTAATTAACCATTTGACCTACAGAACTGCACTGTAGAGGCCGATGAACTGCTAGAGTTACACAGATCACCCATCTCACTTACTGTTACTTAAGTTAAGTTAAAAACAGAGTTGAGATAATCATGCAGATAAATATGCTTGTTCTCACCAGTTGTAGCATCATTGACACACTCTCCCAAGTAGCAGGGCAGATATTGTCTCCTCCATCCACCAGACCTTGGTAACCCTGTCAACAAAACAAAATATCACCTCTTTGGAAAGGGGTATTTTCGGTTCATATTATTAATTGATTGATTGTTGGTTAAATAACTTTTGTATTTTTAGATTGTTGTATAGACAGTACATGCAAAATGAAGATAACCCCGAGAGCTATGGGAACTTGATGACATTTTGACAATTTTTAAAAATTTGTTTTGTCATTGTGCAATCGATGATTTATCAAACAGTGAAAACAGAAAATTCAAAAGCAGTATTTACCTCATGGACAAAATACACTTTAGCTCCAGTGTAAATTCCCACTCGAACTGTGGCCCTCACAGCTGCATTCATTCCTGTAGGCACAGTGCGTGCACATTAGCACATATAATGAGAACCTTGTGATAACGCTCACACTCAGGTGGAAGCAATCATTGAATGGAATACATGATTGAATAGAATAATGGTTAAATGATGGTGAAAAAAATGACCGATATAAAACAATATTATAGTACAATTTTATTTGTCAGTGATCGTGGAAAGCTTGTTTTGCAGGAAAGGCAAGTAGGCCTCTGCCTGCACTCTCAAAAGTCAGGGGGTTTCTTAAAGGACAAGATGTGGATAGATTATCTTCAATGGTGCCAAAAGTATCTCCACTTACAGTGTAAAGGAGGAGATGAGAGAAAAGAAGCAAAGGACATCGGTCTCACTTCACCTAACCACTTTACAAACGCATCACAGAAAGGTCATGCCTCTAAAATTAGTCCACAGATACAGTGTTACAGAGAGAGAGAGAGAGAGGAGGAAGGACCAGAGGAAGAAACTTGGACCTAAGGATATCAACATAAGTAAAAAGGTATGGTTGTAATGAGGATTATGTGTTTTGGGGAATTAAACAGAAGGAAGGTTAAGGGTAATCAAGCTGTGCGGTTTTGCATTTACACACTTGCCCCAAAGTCTTATAAAGTTCAGATAGGCATAAAAACAGAGATGGATATCTAACTTGGTCACTGGTCAAAAACTCCAGGGTTGTGTGGGGTCGCTGACAGACTTCCCAAAGGTCACAGTGGAGATATTCCTAATCAAGTTAAAGGTCAGGGGAGAGGCTGTCTCACTCTGTGGTCCCAGCAGCTTGCTGGCAGTGAAGGAATCCATGCTGCCAGGATCATTAATCCAGGATTATTGCTCATAAAAAAATGCCGAGTTGTCAAATTTGATATAAAGGGAAGCTGCAATCATGATTGAATTTGACAGTAAAAATGAGCTAGAATTTAGGCAAAAAGCAGTGTTATTTCTAGTGCTAATAGCTACCTAAAGGACATATTGTATCAAACTTAAAGCTACAGTATTGAGATCTGTATGTAGGCTACAGGGACTATTCAGACAACCAATGACTATTCAAGAGTCATCACAATTATATATGTCTAAGTTTCTAACTCACTTCATGTCTCAAATACTTGTTTTTATGTCATTAAATCCAGCTGTTGTGTTATTAAGTATAGTGACTTCCCACACACCAGATCCGAACAAACAGCGGACATGCTTTGCCTTGGCCCTCCACACTCACATACCACCCTGGAAACCCTTCACTTACCCTGGGCATCGCCTCCTGAAGTCAGCACGGCGATCGCCCGACCCTCTCCCATCTTGGTTTGGTCGGGGGAAGCCGGTTGTGCCATGGTCCTGGAGCTGGCTGAGGGAAAGAGGCCTTGAGTGTAAAGATCCCTGCCACCCTGCTGTACAGTGTGGAGTACAAGAAGCCTCTCACCTCTAACTCAGCTTGCTCACTAAGGAAAAGTAACAACAGGTGCAAAAGTGCACAGCCTAACTATCCTCTTGGCAGACAGACATCGAGACACAAATAGTTTCACAAACACATTTAGATGCACACACACATACACGGTGCCTATTAAAAGTATTCAACCCCCCCCCCCCCCCACCCCATGCACCCCCTTTGTCATGTTTCATATTTTATTGTTTTACAGCATTTAATCAAAGTGCTTTAGGCTTTTTCTTCTTTAGAATCAATGTGAAACCTCACAAATACAATAAATCTGGAAATTGATCTAAATTCATTTCAAATATAGTACACTGAATAATAGATTAGGCTTTGAAAATCTGGACAATTGTTCCCATTTCAAGATGCATGGGGACCGTGAGTGAACAGCAGTATTCAAGTTATGCCACAAATTCTGGACACTCACCACTGCATGGCATTAATCCTCTGACCCTCAAGCAATGTCGGGCATTTTTTGCTCCTGGCACATTTTACTCACCGTGGCCTTGTTTTTCACTGCAATATATACGTATATAAGTATATAGGTTTTTTTTTAAAGGTACTCTGAGATAGTAATTGCCATAGAAATGTTGTTTCTCCTGACTGTTACATTTTGTTAACTTCATCTCAGGTTTGTTTGAAATGTTTCTTTGTATTCATTATATAATATTCTCCAAAAATAAGTAGGTGTTTGACCTTCTTGATGAAGTAGTTAGAACATACTGTACCTTGATTGCACCTCTATTCAGGGACACCAAATGGTGGTGCTGTATTTGCACTGTGTATATATGTATCATACATATATACAACACACACACACATACATAATGTATGTGTGTGTGTTGGGACTCCTGTCTCCATGTGTTAAAAACAATGGATCGATTCAGATGTGTCATAGTGAAGGGGTGAAAGCTGATGTAGTTAATTTATTCTATTTATTTACTTTTCATTTGATTAAATACCTGCACTTGATTTAGTTCCATTTGATTTATTTTTTAACACTAATGTTGTTTTTTTGTTGGTTGGCATCAAACAGTTTTATTAACATCCACTGCAATTCAGTGTTGTAGCTACAGTATCATATCTCCACTGTATTTTACTATCTGCAGTCACAGCAACTCAACAAATCAAACAAATATAGATGTGCATCTTGGCACCGTTAGTAATTACATATAGTAATTGATTCATAGATCTACGACTGCCCTACTTCGAAAACTCTACATATTCAAACTGATAGTCATAGATCTTTAATTATGGTCCAGCTTACCAGCATCCCCTGGTGGATCAGAGCTCGAGGTCGTCTTGCTTTTACATTCAGATGCTGAGAGGTCATTAGTACCTGAGGAGGGAGAACCATGACATATTACCCAGAATGTGATCCAGACTCAGCTGTACTGTGTATATGACTAGGCTATAGAAAACCTCTTCATAATACACTCCAGAGTATAAGGCAGCTACTCATTCACATGATAGACCTTTTCTATAAAAGACAACTTGCTCAAGCATTATTCCTCAGTATTTTCTCTCATTTCAAGCATTTGTGATCACTCTATGTGTCCTCTATCTGTACATGGCAGGTTAGTTTACTCCAACTGGCCTTATATATTTTGCTATCGGCTGCAGCTGACAGGCTGGTTTTCTGAGGAATGCATGGCAAGGAACAAGCACATAAACATATTTTGCACAATCTCCATTTATTAAAACAAAGAAATAAACAGTCTCCTCTGAATTCAGCAAGTCACATATGTCCAGTTCAATAAAGATTGATGTTGTATTTCTCGCTAGAAGATGAAATTGGCTGCACACAAACAAGACCTCTGGGTATTATAAATGGATGGCTTCCGCTTACAAAGCTTATAATTCACATAAACAATTGTACTTGTTTGTAATTTCTTAGTGTAAGTAATTTCTGTATGGAAGGGAAATTCAACCCCCATGACACAACCGTCAGTTACTTTTAATTGACTCCTCTTCTACTTGCCGACACATTATATCATGTTAGTCCTCTATTCCTGTCTGGAATAATGAATCAGATATGTGAGTAGATACGGCGCAGTACTACCCCTACAAACAAAAGAATCAATGTGACAACAGTGAGAATGGGAGGCGTGTTTGTTGCAGGCAGCTTACTGGAGTTGTCTTTAAATAGATACAAGATGTTTGGATGCAGACACAGTGCTGCTATCTATAAAACACACAGGAACCCCTCCCCCATCGTCCATTACTGTGAAACTGCACAGTCATACCCACAACCGAACATGTTAAAACATGTCATGCTAGTGCATTTATGACCTGGTAAATTGATATGATAATTCACCACAAAAAGACATGGTAAAAGTTTCCACAAGTATTGCTCAGACGAATTGAATTTAAGGACTATAGGCTTCTAAATAAGACTGAAATGACTCGCAACAAGCACACAAAGACACAAATATCCACACTGTACTCATACCTTGAGCCTTCTTTGTGAGCCAGAACATCAGCCAGGCCAGCAGTGTGACACAGAAGAGCCACTGGGCTGAAAAGACACCCGGGTACAACATCCTCACAGCACCTCTCTTCTTGAGAAACCATTCTGCATCTGATCGGTATTAATAGCTTTGATATCACTACTTCATTGGTGAGGAATGACCTTCATCGCTAAAGCATGGCAATACAATCCACCGGTGTCTATTATAATCAGAGGGAAGCAGTGCTGTAACACAAGTAACACAACACATTATTGTATCATATTACAGTATAATACAAAACAACAGGAACAGGAGCATTTCCTTATATTGACGATTTTGGCCCATTTTAGCTAAGCACTTTACAAAAACACACCTGTACCTTGTCATCAATTATATATCAACAGTATTACTACTACTATGGGAATAGCAGAACAAGACGTAGTAACATAGGCAACAATATTTTATTTTACCGATATCATATATAACAATGCTATTTTACTACATTACACTAAATCATCCTTATTCTGCACTTATATTATTTATAACTTCGTATGGAATGTATAGCGTAACTAATGTATTATATCAATTACTCACCCTGATACCTTGCATTTTAGAAGAAAACAGGTTTTATCTCTCATGCCTTTGGGGGATCAGAGAATCCTAAAATGGCTGAACATGGAGGGAATCATTGTTGAATTGAAGTAAATGGAGGTCAGCAAAACTATATGGATTAAAACACTACCGCCACTCATGGACGGAATCACAGCTCGCATGTGCAAGGGAGTTGAGGAAGTGCTTTAAATGGTGAGATTTTGTCAAAAATGCATGTGTTTGTTGAACAGTGAGCAGACAACTGTGAAAACGAGATCTCCATTATACTGCATGAGTTGCGTTAGACTTTGTAAACGGATGTTTTGATATAGTTTTGGTGTTGTCAATCCTGGCCTCCATTTACTTGAACTCATTAAGGATTTACCTTCTCTCCAGCGTTTTTTGGGATTCTCCGTTCACCGTGGAGGCATGCAAGACGAATAAAGTTTTCTTCAAGAATTGAAAATGACTAAATTGGTTATTTTAAGTTTAAATTACACATAATGTAACCACACAACAATCTACCAACCCTAAAAATCCGATGTAGGGGAATCAACACCGTATGTTTTTAAAAACGTGGTATTATTTGCTTTATAATGTTTGTTATCTTCAATACAAACATAGATATCTTGCAGAAATAGATCAGGCTAATTTCAGTGTGTCTGCCTGTTTTCTCGACCTTGGATTTTTGCCTTCCCCTTGTTGGATTTGTTTGCCTTTTGGACTGACCTCCCGGTGTTGACCCTGCCTTTACCAAGTAAAGAAGTCTATACCTGAATCTTGTCTCCGAGTTGTGCTTTTGGGTTCTAGTATCTGTAATCCTTACACTTAACCCTCAAATCACCCTTTAAGTGTCGCCACTCGCCAGGTCTAAAATTCGAATTGGTCCTCACAGAAATAGAAATACAAGACATCCACCCAAACAAGCACCGGGCATCAAACTAGTTAAAAGGGCTTTAAATAAAATGATTTGCTATTGATGTGATTCATCAACTCATGTCATTTGTGAAGGTCATCGTGACTCTCCTTTAACACCACACTTTCCCACCAGCAAAATGACCTCTAAAGCAGATACATCACTCTGGACTAAAGGCAGCAGCTTGTCATAAACACACGTCTCCGGTGGTGTTTGTTTGTGCAGCATTTTTCCAATACTGTGTGCCCCTGGTGGGTTGAGCGACGTGTAGCCCTCTCTGGAGGCAAACCCGATCGATAGCACCATTTCCAGGTAATCCCCCCCTCCCGTCTTCCCGGACAGTATTAACACTGGCACAACCTGTAATAAACAATACGGATCAATACAGCACCAGTTCAACACAAAACACTTCCACCTCAGCTAATGCAGTGAAATGTGGACCATCTGACTCCTCAACTTCTCAATTATGTGAAACATACAGTGAGTAATTAGATCATGCTGTGTGGAAGTGAATGGGATTATTAGATAATGACTTGTATTATGGCAACACAGTTCTCAATGATTGCATAATGGTTTCCAAATACATGTAATTCAAATTTGCATAAAGAAACTGCTCTGACATTTAGAGATATGAAGCTGCATATTTAACAATATTTCACAAAACCTTTTTCTTATGCCTTTTACTTGTCTTTCTTAGAGTCACTGTAGCTGCAACAGATAGTTGGGACTTAGTATCCGAGTCTCTTTAACAAGCACCGAGACAAAACGTTGAAACTGAGGCATTCTGGTGCCCAAATTTTGTCAAAGATCTTTGTCTAAGAGCTGAATTAGTTTCATTAATCGATTAGTTGAGCAACAAAAAAATGTCCCTCATATTTGTTTGCCATTTTTTAAGCAAAAAAATAAAATCATTGGTTCCTGCTTTCAGGTTCCAACCTTTACTGTCTTCTATGACAGCATATGCATATCTTTAAATAAGCAGTTTGGATTGGTCATCGTGGGCTTTATAGTCCAAACCATTAATGCAGTAATCAGGAAAATGATTGTGAGAATAATCCATGATGAAAATAACAAGTTATTAGGAAAAATGTCAGATCTTTTATAGAGTGATAATATGAGTAACACACTGAAACATAAAATTGTACCAAAATTATCTTTAATTAGTCATGGAATCAAGTTGTGAACATTTCAATTTAAAATATCAATGAAATAATAACATTACAAGGACAAAAAATGCATAGTTTCAAAACAAGTCCGTATGCAGTTAAAAAGTAAAAAGGTAATCAAAGAGTCATTTTAATGTCGATACTTTGCTCTTCAGTACAGATTCTGTTGACCAACCTGACTGAACTCACAGTCAGCCAACAGGTGGCAGCAGCATCTGATCTTTCCCACTCTGTTTATCGGGGTTGGAGAGGCACATGCAAAGCCTTGCCCTAATAAATCATGCACTGAAAGTGTCAGTGCAAATTTTGTTAGATTTTATTGCAGTTTAATCATCTCAATGAATGTTTTAATAGGCTGATATTTCAGTGAGCGAATGGCAATGCAGTGATAAATTGTGTTGGGACACACACACACACACCCTCCCGACACCTTACCTCTCCCCCTCTCTCGCCTTTTCGCTGTGGAGAATCACTAATGTAGACCTGCACAGCTATTTGTCCACTTATTGGTGCAGGGGAGTCTTGTGCTGTATAATTACATTATTCATATTCATTTTAGAACACACAGACTAATCTGTAATTGGCCAGTAAGGCAATAAGTGCTGCTGGTCCGTCTTATTCTCACTGATAATGCTTCAACTTTTACCTTTTTTTTAATCTCAATTCTGCATTCTTCTATTGTTTCAATTTCCTCCTCTCGTCCAAAGGCCTTTTATGAATTCATCAGGTTGGACAACCGTGCTCCACCTTACTAACAGGCCTCCCACACCATTTAACATGTCTTTATCTCTCCTCCTCTCTCTGAGGATTTCTCCATTTGTCATCCCCCGATCCCTCTTTCCCATTATGTACGTATCTTAATTGCCCCATTTTCCTCCTCTCCTCGATTTCATCCACTCCCGTTTTTTTCTAGCTCTTCCTTTGACCTTCAGATCCCTGACTTCATTACTCTTTCCCAGTTTCTGTATTTCTTTTTTGTTTTCCTGACCATAAGGTGGTAATGAATGCAAAATCAACATGGCCGCGACATTTTGGGTACCAATCCTCCCTGCCTCCCTCAGGCTTTGTGTCATATTTACTGTTGTCCTCTGCCAGCGTGGATGTATGATATGTGGTATGACTCTTCTAATAAGGACATGAAGAGAATAGAGGAGGCTGGGGGCTGTAATTAAAGACCGAAGGGTCTCTGTGAATAAGTAGGGAGGGAGGTGAGGTAAAACGGGGGCTATCTGCTGCTGGAACAATAAATCAACCTGCCCATTTAGCCGCCCTCAACACAATATCACGCTGCACCATTCAGCCCCCCTCTTTGCAAAAGCAATTCCGTCATGTCTTGTTAGCTCATTCGTCTTCATCAGCACCAGTGGGAGGTTCAGACCCCCCCGCCCTCCCCTGCTCACCTCAAGCTGCCCCCCTCCCCCTACCCCTCCCAATGCCAGGCACCATTGATCAAAGCAGAACCAGCCTGTGCATCAGCTTGTGCATGGGTGTCATATCAGTCAACACACACACTTCACATGTAAACACTGTATAGCACACACACACACACACACACACACACACACACACACACACACACACACACAGAGACACACCGTGTCGTGCAGCTGAAGTGGCAACAACAGTTAAACTAATCTTAGCTTGGTCATGCAGATCTGGGTCGCACGATAATGTTATTAATGAACTCATGGTTAACACACACAGTGTGCTAATGGATTCAGGGCCAATTAAGGGATGACTAATTAATGAGACATTTCCTATAAGGCTTATTGATATGTTAATTTGCAGTCATATAAATCACAGTCTTAATTGTACTGCCTTCAGATAATAAGATTTTCATTACACATAATGATGAATTGTTTAGCCAGCTGAGAGATTGATTCACCGAGAAATTAATTATTTATTTACTGGAGGAAACGATGTTGAAAACGATATTGAAAAAGTTTTAACAACAATTTCTTAAATCTGGGGATAAATTTAATACATTTTGATTTTAGAAGTTGGTTTTTATTTGTTTGATATTGAGATAAAACTAAACTTATCTGAACGCTTATGCAATTCCCTTCACATGTATTCACATCTGGGTGGTTCCCAGTGTGACCTGTATGTTTCTGCTGCTGGGTTTTGGTGTTTGATTGACACCGTATTTCGCTTCCTGGGGGAGGGCATCATTTTCCCAGATAATAAAGGGACTGGAACTGGGAACTTTAACATTACATGTTTGCATCTTTAACCTCGACAGCTCCTCTAAAGCAATAGGTTTAATATAAGGGACGTATCCAGCACTCTCCTCTCCTGATACAGCATCTTAGATCATCCATATAAGAGTGAATTTATGAGAACATTTTCGTTAATTTTTTTACAGTCTTCTGCTATGTGGCACATGAACATTACTATAAAATAAGGACTGGTTTAACATAATTTGCTGTGCAAGAAGTTACCGTGCAGAGCTCATAAAA